AGAGATAAATGCAGGTCTTTAGAGGGAAATTAACTTCAGTTGACTTGAGCCACTCTGTGCTGTGTGGGATTATCTGAGACTATGTTAATTAAAACTCAGCCACTGACGGTTGGCTGCGACTCTAGATACAAAAACTGTATGTCTCTTTTTCCTTGCGTTACTGGAACTCCTACGTAATCCTTGACCATTCCTGTGAGTAACCCAGCATGCGAGCGACTCAAAGCCAAACGGCCATTTGACTCAAAACATTCAATTCCCTCTTCATTAGCAGTCACATTACTTTAGATTAGCAGAAAGTGGACATTTACAGGCAACATTGACCCCCCATAATTAAAATTAATTTAAAAAGAAGACACAAAGAGAAGTAATTACTCCAAGTGTTAAAGGTTTTCTCCCTGGTAACTTCTCTTATCACTTTATTACTCCTTTTTTTTCAGAGTAAAATAAAAATGCAAAACAGTGAGTGGACTAAGCAGGGGAGAGGAATTAAGACCTGGCAGTTGCTCATTAATGACTTCACCTGATTATTAAAAATAGGAAGTTGCCCTGTAAAGGTTGAGTAGTTTACAATGAAATCTTTTAATTAGACTGGATTTGGTCTGATTGAAATGAAATATAAATAGGTCCTTAAATAGCTTATCACTACCTTTCTCATTTCTCAATGCTCTCTTATTTGGCCTTTAACTTTTTGGTGTTTAACAAGGAGCCAAAAATTAAGAAAACAAATCTCACAAAAGGCTAGAGTTATTCATATTTTGTGATATTATTAACCCACAAAATATGTAATTGCCTTTGCGCTGTGTGTAAAAACACAGCAGGTGAAGAAAGTACTCATCGGACAATGAATGCCATACGTCATGCTCCTCTAATTAACTTGTTATATATATATGTGGGTGTGTGTATATATATGTTAATCTATACTGGGCCAGATTATTGAAAACCTTTGTGTTAGTAAGTGTCTAGAATTTGATATTAATCTTATTTCTGCCTCATGGATTTAAATTCAATTTATTTCAGTTTATTTATATAGCGACAATTCATAAAACATGTCATCTCAAATCACTTTACAGAGAGAATTCAACCAGATCATACAATCAGATTGGTTGAAAGTTTTCTGTCATGGGAAATTCAGAAAAACAGGACTACACTGAAAAACATGCCCAGCTCCAAAATCTATATAAATTCAATTCAATTCAGTTTATTTCTATAGCACCAATTCACAACACATGCCATCTCAAGGCACTTTCCAGTTCAACCAGATCATCCAGTCAGATTGATTCAAAGTTTTCTATCTAAGGAAAACCAGTTGATTGCATCGACTAATTGACTCAAATGTAATTGCTGATATACAAAGGTGTGGATGGCAGCAGCACCGCTGATATTTCTCTCCTGGATGGAGTCACAGCCAAACAGGAACAGAACAGATAAGAGATAGTTCAGGATAACCTGAGCCACTCTAACTAGAAGCTTTATCAAAAAGGAAAGTTTTAAGCCTAGCCTTAAAAGTAGACAGGGTGTCTGCCTCACGGACTAAAACTGGTCAACCTATTCTCATTATGAGTGCGTATGAAATCGTACGAAAAGTTTGGTGGGACTGCAATGATCTAAAGTGTAATAATTGGCTTTTTTATGCTTATAATAACAATGAAAAATCTAAAAAAAAAATGTAATAGCCAATAATTACAATGTATATCATTGTAGTTCCACAAAACTTGTAGCACACATAGATAACCTCATCTAGTTCAGACTACAACTCTTACTTTTGGAATAAACCTTTGCAAAGCTAATTACAGTAGAAACATAGCAATGAAATAACAAACATCTGTGTTCAATTAAAGTAATAAACATATTTTTCTGAAACTATCAATTCATATCCGTCATATAAGATAAACAATACACCTTGTAACATTTATACTGGCTTAATATAATTTGTTTACACATATATATGAATCGACACATTTTGTTACAACTTTTAAAATCTTCAAAAAGTGAATTTCACAGTTTTATCCCAATTATGCTTTTGTTCTGGTAAGTTAATTGAAACCTTTTGAACCGCTCTTCGTCTGGCCCGTCACCCAGAACCTGTTTGCCATGGGAGACCCTACCAGGGGCATTGAAGCCCCCGACAACATAGCCTCTGGGATCACTGAACACTCAAACCCCTCCACCACGATAAGGTGGCGGTTCAAGGAGGGGATTTTTTTTATTTTTTTATTGTTTTTTTTTTGTCTTTTTTTAATGTGCATATCAAAAGCTGTTGCCTTTATTTACATGAGAAAACAGTTTGAAGCTGGATTTTTCATAAGTGCTTCTGGCAACCTGGTGGCCTGTGTTTGTCTAGTAGCCTCTGTAGGGAGGAAATCTTCTGTTGGCCTGCAGGCCTCTGGTCGGATGGTGGTTTCCATGTGTGGGGGGGCCTTGGTTCATGTACAGTCCTGCGTCTCGATGGTGGCTTGTATGCAGATGATGGCCAGCATTTATGTAGACGCCTGGGTTTGGGTTGAAGCCTCCGTTTGGATTCTGTCTCCTGTTTTCATGGTGGGGGCCTCTAACTGTGGAACCACATCTGTTTCTTTGGGGCCTGTTTTGCATGGGCGCCTCTTTTTGACAGGAAGCTTCAGTTTTCATGGACTCCTCTGTTTGTGAGGAAGCTTCATGATGTTCTTTTTTCAAAGGAAGTTTCAACTCTGCTGTCAATTGTGAGACTTGATTCTTCAAAGACTTGATCAGTTCCTCCTGTTCCTTGAGTCTGGAGTCATTTTCAGTTTTAGTCTTCAGCTGTTCCTCATATTTGAGCCTCAGCTCTCGTTCTTCTACAAAAGCCTCTGCCATCCTCCCTTCTCTACTGGCGTTTTTCTCAGCCTGCCTCTTCAGGAAGGCGAGCTCATGCAGGACACTGACGCACACTGTAACTGTGGGAATGCGTGGTAACTTTGACGCACCTGTAGGCTGGGTTACAGTGAATGTTTCCTGCTTCTCCTCTTTCTCTTCACTTTTGAGTCTCATGCTACGTTCACGTTCTAAACTTTTTTCCAGTTCTGCGATTTGCTCCTTCTGAGCTTTGCAGTCAACCTGAAACTCGATTCTTTGTTCTCTCTCCTCATGCAGATCACAAGTCCTCTCGTGCAGCTCTGTTTTTAGAGCAGTAACCTGCTGAGTGAGGTCGTTGATGTGTTTGAGAGCCTCTTCGATGCACATCGAGCGAGGGATCATCGTAACCGCTGATGCATGGCGTGGCATCCTGTTGCTTTGATAGAACTTGGGGCGGTCAACATCAGTTCTCCTGTTGGCCCCGGTGTGCCATGGCTTTCTCTTGTTTTTATCTGGTTTGGAAGACACATAATGAACTGGGTTATCAAAATGTGGCCAATCTGCATGTTTGTATTGACCAAGAAAATGCTTACCATGATGGCGTGAGTACGGTGCCTCAGAAGAAAGACCCGCACTGGGCTTAGTCTTTGGTTCTTCTAACCTCGGAGATGGCTGACATGCTTGCTGGACCTCATCTGAGTTAAGAGACGTAGATTCAGCAGCGAGAGATGAATTCAGCTTAACCTCCGCTAAGGGGGGAGCCTCAATAGTAGCAGAAGAAACGGTTTCCCCTTGGATCTCTGGACCGTCTTCTGCTTTGCTGAGATGCAGCTCGCTGGTGACAGAGCTGTCATCTTCAGCTGGGAAAATAATGGCCTCATAGTCGACCTGGATGGGGAGGTCCACCATGTCTTCCCATGAAAGTTTAGCTGGAGAGGTTTCGTTTCCAAAAACAAACTGTTTTTGCTCCATGGCTAACTTTCTATCAATCAGAATATCGACCTAAAAGGCGTGTGATATCTGAGAACGATGTTTGGCTAGTTTCGCTAAGATTCGAACGTGCTTCTCAAAAGCGATCTGTCTCGATGAAGGTCTGGAACAGATAAGACCACTGAGCTCAGATCCCTTCCAAAGTCTGTGATGTCATCAGCAGTCTCTTTGTGACATCACATGCCAGGTGTTATCGAACATTCTAATCCCAACTGCCGAACACGGAATGCATTTTTTAAAATAGTTCAGCTGTTTTTTTAAACAATAACTTTCTTCTTTGTTCAATTTGGGTTATTTCTGGTTTTCTTTTACTGATCAGATAAAAAGTTATTCAAAGAAAAATATATGCTTTGAAATGTAATTGTCCTTGAATATTTTTTAAGATTTCTCACAGTTTTGTGTTTCAGTTTTACAATCAAATGCAGACATTTATAAACAGTATTTAACTAAAGTATTACTGTCTTCAAAGACCTCATTACCTACCTTATACCACCCAAGAAGATTCAACACATGCTGGTAGTGATGTTGCTAGGCAACATAAGGTGGATCAGGTATAGTTTCTGTTCTACATTTACTACAACAGTAGCTTGCTAAGCCCAAAAGCAGTGAGCTTTTTGAATTTGGGTGAGACTAGGGCTGGGCGATAATTCAATAACGATATATATCAATTGATAGACGTGTGTCGCAATAGAAAAAAAGCGGGTCGATAAAAGTTCGATAAAGAAATGCAGTTTTCCTTCCTTCTCATTGTAGCCTAGCATGTAGGTTTATGCTAGTCACTACTTCCTCCCAACCAATCGCAATCGCGGACCCAGGCACGCCATCACCAAGCGCCGCCCTCTCAAACCACAACACAGAGCACATGAAGATGTCGCAGCAAGGAGAGGCGGAGGAAATTGTTCTAAAGAAGGGTTTTTGTAGTTCGCCAGTTTGGCAGTATTTCGGTCATGGCAAGTCGGACTAAAAACAAACCACAGTCATCTGGAAAATGTGTCGGGAACCAGTGAAAACGAAGTCTGATAACACAACCAACCTTTTTTTATCATCTCGGCCGCTCACACCCGCAGGAGTACGAGCTGTTTAGGTCCTGGCGCGGCTCTGCATCACCTCCGAGGAATCTCCGGGAATTTCGGGAAAATATCTAGATATTTTCAGTTCTGGGCAGTTTCCCACGTAGTTCTAACAATTGAGAGAAAAGTGCTGAGGGGCCAGAAACTTCAAAGTAATAACTCAGGTTAAAGCAGGAAACTAAGCTGAACCAGGTTCAGCTTAGAAGAATGCGGGCGGAGGGAGGGAGGGGGGGGGGGGGGGGGGGGTGTCCATTTATATATTTGTTATATTTATTTTGGTCACTTTTCTGGTCACTTTAGTTTATTCTTTGTCAGTATTTAATAACAACTCAGGTCTCTTTAGTTATTTTTCTTTAAAACAATTCTGTTATGGTTAAAAAAGTTGGTTAAAAAAATATTTAATTGGAAGTCTGTGTTTGTGTTCTTTATTAAAATTAAATCATTTAGCAATATCATAAAAAGTCCAGGCAGAGCTGCACATAAAATATGGTTTCAAATCTTTTCAATAATTATCGATATTGATCAATATGCATTTTTTATTATCGATAAGCTTTTTTTCTATATCGCCGAGCCCTAGGTGAGACTGAGGCCAGTTTGTAATGATTCCAAGCAACCTGCACCAGAGTCCAATAGGAAGTGGATCAGACCATTTCAGCAAGTTAGACTCCATCCAGTTATTTGGTCTGGACCAGATTTTGCTGGGCTTAAATCAGACCTGCACAAAAGATCAGAACTGGTCGATTTAGCTGAATAGGGCTTATTAGTGCTTTTTATAAAGCTATGCGCCACAGAAAGTGCTTTAGAAGAAATCAGCTGATTATAACAGACTCTTTCCCTTCCTACCCACCAATAAAGAACATAGTCAACAACAACAAAAAACAAAACAGACCATAAATAGATTTATGGAGGAAGAAGACAGAAGAGATCTTACAACGGATTCAGAGGATAGCTTTCATTTTTTTCTATCTTGTTTGAGAAAATACTCAAGCATAATATCAAACATAGAGGATTTTTTAAAATGACATTGCCCATAACAGAACATTCTAGAATAAGTACGGAAACAACTTTTTAATATGTAATCCCTCAGGTTATCCTAAAAGATTCAACAAATATAATAAAAATACATAGAATTGCAGGTTCTTTTCTTTTTAGAATTATAGCTGAAAGTTTATTTATTTCAAAAACTCAGTTCAATAATGCTCACTTTAGTCCAGCTCAGTCCATAGATCTCTGATGGGGAACTTTTTCTTTCTATAGTTTCTTCTTGTGCAAATGCTGCAAAGCTGCCTCTCTGACAGTCAATCTCACTCATCTGAGACTCAGCACCTGTGTCTCACCTTAATACCTTTCTAGTTATAATGCACCACTAGAAGTAGTGTTATCATTCTTCTATCTCCCACTAGGTGAGATCACATTGTACGATGTATTATTAATATGAACTGTTTCACATGAAACACTTACTGTACATAGTATTCTCACCAAACTGTGATAACTGTGATTAAATTCAGTGTAAACAAATGCCATATGTTGCCACCCCTCAAAAATTCCTGCCCCCCTCTTGCCACCCCATAAATATTTTTCTAAATCTGCCCCTGCTGCCTCCTGACTACTGCGTCCTGCCTAACCCATGGATCCTGCTGGATCTCTAGGACAGAATCGGCCTCCCTTTGTTTGACCGTGTTTCTGGGAGCTGATATATCGACTCTAGGAAGACTCTTGGAATCTTTATCAGCTCAGCCGCTCACACCCGCAGGAGTACGACCTTTGTAGGCCCCGGCGTGGCTCTCCTCCGCGCCTTTAACTCAGGTTAAAGCAGGAAACTAAGCTGAACCATAACGAGGTGCCAGCAGCACCTCTAGAAGAATAGGGGTGACAAAAAATACCCCATAGAAATTCTAGGCTAAAGGGTGAGGTGATTTTTGTTTGGGTTTTTGTTCTTGTTGAGTGGAGTTTCCATGGTAGCCTAGTCCTACAATCTTTTAATTACCACAAGCTGGTGTTGTGCTATTCCCACCCAAATAATGTATTCCATGTATTTATTTGTCATATATATTTTGGTCACTTTTCTGGTCACTTTAGTTTATTCTTTGTCAGTATTTAATAACATAACTCAGGTCTCTTAAGTTATTTTTCTTTAAAACAATTCTGTTATGGTTAAAAAAGTTGGTTAAATAAAGATTTAATTGGAAGTCTGTGTTTGTGTTCTTTACTAAAATTAAATCATTTAGCAATATCATAAAAAGTCCAGGCAGAGCTGCACATAAAATATGGTTTCAAATCTTTTCAATAATTATCGATATCGATCAATATGCATTTTTTTTTAATCATCCAGCCCTAGTTGATGCTGTTATTTTTTGATAATCAGGTGGTGTCCAAGCTTAGCAACTGGATTCTTAGTTGATCTAGTGTAGCACATTACTCCTAAAACTTTGACTTCAGGCTGCAGTCCAAGCATTGTGAACCTTGTCAAAGCAACACATTTAGAACTCTGACCTCTACTCACTATTCTGCTACCATTCCAGGTTTTTTTTGCACATTTTTGTACCAAACTTCTGCTTCATTCATTTGCTTGGATTAAGAAATCTACTAGCAGCATGCTCCTTTTTCAAGGGTCTGTTGAGACTCCATGTCTTAGCAGAATATCTCAGTGAGTGCCTGCTGGGCAACTAAATCAGCAGCTCTTAATACAATACCACGTTAAAAATTTATGTGGTATTGTTGTTTTCTTAGAATCAGGAATGTGTGTTTATCATTATTGTAATTCAATTCAGTTTATTTCTATAGCGGCCAATTCACAACACATGTCATCTCAAGGCACTTTCCAGTTCACCAGATCATCCAGTCAGATTGATCAAAGTTTTCTATCTAAGGAAAACCAGTTGATTGCATCGACTCATTGACTCTTCAGCAATCCCTCACACTAAGCATGCTTGTAGCGACAGTGGAGAGAAAAAAAAAACTCCCTTCTAACAGGAAGAAACCTCCACCAGAACCAGGCTCAGTGTGAGCGGCCATCTGCTGAGGCTGACTGGGGTTCAAGGAGACAGAAGCAGACATAGAAAAAGAAGCATAGATACAAAAGGCAACTGTCAACCAGCTCCACAGGCGGCCCCGTCCAGGGAACACACAGCCAGGCAGACGAGCTCCGAGCCAGCTGCCATGTCAGAGGATGAAGAGAGCACATCCAGTTAGTCACAGTCAGAGAAACAGGACTACACTGGAAAACAGGCCGATCTCCAACATCTAGAAACAAAGGTGTTGATGGCAGCAGCACAGCTGATGTTTCTCTCCAGGATGGAGTCACAGCCAAACAGGAACAGACCAGATGAAGCTACTATGAGAAAAAGCAGAGAGAGCAGAACGTTAGAGATTGAACTAACAGATTCTGCAGAGTGGGAGAATAGAGATAGAATGAAGCAGAATGATGAAAAAGGGGTCCCTATGTCCTCCAGCAGTCTACGTCTATAGCAGCATAGTGAACCTGCAGATTAAGAGCGAAGTGCTCTGTTAGGAACATAAGGAACAATCAGATCTCTGATATCAGATGGAGCTTGGCCATTTAAGGCTTTATATGTGAGAAGGAGGATTTTAAATTCTATTCTGGATTTAACAGGAAGCCAATGAAGAGAAGCCAGGATAGGAGAGATATGATCTCTCTTTTTCATTTTCATCAGAACTCTGGCTGCAGCATTTTGGATCAGCTGAAGGCTTTTAACTACAGTTTGTGGACTTCCTGATAGTAAAGAATTACAATAGTCCAGCCTTGAAGTAACAAATGCATGGACTAGTTTCTCAGCATCATCCCTGGACAGGAGATTTCTCATATTTGCAATATTTCACAGATAAAAGAAGGAAATTCTAGAAACCTCTTTGATATGGGATTTAAATGACAGGTCCTGATCAGAAATAACAGCAGGACTTTTTGCTTTATTAGTAAGTGTAAGTAAATGGTAAATAACTGAAATGGGTAGAACAGGATGCTTGAAAAACTCTAGTCTGTGTGGATGAATCTATATTAATGAAAGATATCGACTGCTTAAAGAGCCATGAATTCAGATGCACCTGTAGTCAGGCATAGGGCTATGATGGTGTTTATTTATTTACAGTTTTGGTTCTGACTTCAGCTGCCTTCGGTGCTGATATTTCAGCCTTCTTTTAACTCTCGGTAATCTGTAAACTTGCCTTACAGACTCGGAAATTTGCTGAATTTTGGCAAAAGATGATGATAAAAATCTGTTTGGTTCCAAAGCTTTTAAGACAAGCTACTTAACTCCGACTTCATGCTGCCTTTTATTACACTTCCTCTTCTCCTTCAAACTGCCCCCCTCTGTGGGGTGTTACAAGCTGGAGCAGGGCAATGTTATACTGCTATCTGTACGCTTTAAAGTCTATGTGGGGATAGGCACGAGTCAGCCAAGTTCTCTTATCCAAATCCATTCCCCCCTCTAAAATATCTGTCAAAAAACATGCACAGAAAACACACCTCTACAGACGGCGGAGCCTGTTTGGTGTAGATAAGCAGGTGAGTTTTGTACTGCGTCAACTAAACCTACAACCATGAAGAGGGTAAAAGAGAGAGATTGATATTTACATTTATATTTACCCAGTGAGAAGAAAGAAAGGGATGAGGGTGAGGAAGAAAGGGCCAGAGAAAAGAGAAAAAGATGTTTAGGATATTATCTCTAAGAGAATATTTACTTCTCAGTGGGAAACGGTTCCTGCTGCCTCTCCTCAGGGGGGCAGAACATATACAAGAACCACAAGCTTTCTACCAGAAGGCCTCTTTATGCTTGGAAGTTAACTTTGAGCAGACCTGACATCCTTTTAGATAATTAGACTGATTTGATCATTGTGGAATGAAATGTGCATTAGTGACACATTATTAGTTCATCAGGAAGTAATTAACAAAGACAAAATGATGGCTGTGCTGAAAAAACAAAAAAACAGTTACTGTTGACAGGGTTACTTTTAAGTGGGGGTGTTTGAAGTTGAAGAGTATAGATGCTAAGGCCCCTTCCAAAGTGGTGACCCAGATAAATCTGATTAAAGTATGTCCAACTCCCAACCAGGAGCCCAGATCAACAACCAGAGGATCCTTTTTTTAACATATTGGATTAAAGCAACAGGAATCCCTACTAACTGAGGGTACGGCAAGCATGTCAAGTCTGGTTGAATCAAAAAAATAAAATCCAGCTATAATCAGAATGTACAGTACTGTCATGTGAAATTCAAATTGTAGTGTGTTGACGTACATGAATGCCATGTTCAAAGAGCTCAAAGTTCAGTTCACACAGATGAAAATGAACTAACTCATGTTCACAGTTCACAAACCTATAGATGAATTTCCCTCTGGGATTATTATAGAATGTCTGATTCAGAATCTGATGAACCAGTTCAAGTTCACTTGTTAAATAAAGCCACAGTAGAACCTCATATTTCACCCTTTAAATGTGTGATGATAATATATAGGAAGAATATGGATGCAGTCAAGGTTTACTGGATGTGCAGTGAAGCCTTTATTTAACCAAATCACATAGAAGTTCAGAAACATTCAGGTTCTGCTGAAAAGATCTAGATCCACAATGATTTCTTCCATTCCTCATTCAGCAGAGATGGGAAGTAACGAAGTACAAATACTTTGTTACTGTATTCAAGTAGATTTTTCTGATATTTTTACTTTACTTTACTACTTATTTTTATGGCGACTTTTTACTTCTACTCCTTACATTTTTACACAAATATTTGTACTTTCTACTCCTTACATTTTAAAAAATTGTCTCGTTACTTTAGTTTTGAATCATTTCAATGGAGTTACCGTTATTATTTTTCACGTCATCAATACCAAATTCAATCTAATTGGATGGGAATCTACGTTGCATTTGTCGCACCACTACAAGATGAATCGACAGATTCGGCGGTATTCATTGGCGGCAAATCATTGCAGCTTGGTGGCGGTGGCGTTAGCATAGTAGCATGGACGACGAGATGATTGAAAATGAACACAACGGAGATCTAGTCCTATTGGCAGACATCCATTTAAAATGTAGGCAACGGCATGAAAAAAGTGGTTTCTACTTTTACTTTTATACTTTAAGTAAATTTTCAAGCCTGTACTTTGTTACTTTTGCTTGAGTAAAGAAGTTTAATCAGTACTTCAACTTTTACCAGAGTATTTTTTAACACAAGTATCTGTACTTTTACTCAAGTACGGAAAGTGAGTACTTTTGCCATCTCTGTCATTCAGTAGCAGATATTTCCCAACATAGCTCAGATGCTTTAACTCCATGTGTCGCTTTAAAGTACAGTAGAAGTGGACGTGGCTGACACACAGACTTGTTTGTTAAGTCCCGGTGGGAACATTTTGCACTAAAATATACGTTTTGTTTTTTTTTTTTGTCCCATTCTTCCTTTGTTGATCAAACTCTGCCTAGCGCTCTGCTAAGCTGGCATCAGAAATCCCAGCAGATGAGTCTGAATGGAGCAGACTAGTACTAGCAGTAGACATGCTGCTCTCTCAGGCTGTTTGCTGTAATAAGTGCCGTAAAACCTGACGTTATGCAATGAAAAATGTCGTTATCAAATTAATGCTAACGTGAGCTGAGTGTGTAGCTGATTCTTGAACGTCGCTCTCATTCATGTTCATTACTTCAAACTGATCCGTTCACCGCTCACTAAAATTATGAACGTATTCACTGAACGAGTTCCTGCAAACACGGATGAGTGCTGCATGTAAATGAAAAGGATTCATTTGAAATCAGATATTTACACAATTATAAGAAACCACTCAACCTCTTCTCTTAATGACTGATATTAAATCAGACTAAAATACTGCTTTATTGTCTCACTTATTGTAACCAAAGTTCTATTCGATTT